GCATTTTAATGGGCTATAGTGTCACTGTTGATTTATTGCCCTTTTTTGTTCTTTTATGTGTTATATTTGTCATTTTGCTGTGGCAGTTTCATCTATAAAACAGTATAGCTACAAAAAAAAATGGTAAGAGGATACAGGCATACCAGGAGGGATGCTGTCCCTTTTTTCTTGACATTTTTTTGGATGAAATATTGAGTCAAATGTCAAGTATTTGATTTCAGAAATAATGTATTTTAAAATCTATATGTTGCACTGAAATTGTTTTCCATGTTTATCTATTATTATTATTACTAGTTTTTGAGACAAAGTCTCACTCTGTCTCCCAGACTGGAGTGCAGTGGCACAATCTCGGCTCACTGCAACTTCTGCCTCCCAGGTTCAAGTGATTCTCCTGCCTTAACCTCCGGAGTAGCTGGGAATAAGGCATGCACCACCATGCCCAGCTACTTTTTGTATTTTTAGTAGAGATGGGGTTTCACCTTGTTGGCCAGGATGGTCTCAAACTCCTGACCTTGTGATCTGCCTGCCTTGACCTCCCAATGTTTTCCATTTTTATTTTGTAAACTTAAGATTTTGTTTTTTTAGATGGAGTCTTGCTCTTGTTGTCCAGGCTAGAGTGCAGTGGTATGATCTCAGCTTACTGAAACCTCTTGTCTCCCAGGTTCAAGTGATTCTCCCGCCTCAGCCTCCTGAGTAGCTGAAACTATAGCCGTGTACCACCACACTTGGTTAATTTTTGTATATTTAGTAGAGATGGAGTTTCACCATGTTGGTAAGGCTGGTCTTGAACTCCCGATCTTGTTATCCGCCCGCCATGGCCTTCCAAAGTGCTGGGATTACAGGTGTGAACCACTGCACCTCACACCAATGATTTCTCTGTAAAATATTTTCAATGTATAAGAACAGTTTAATTTTTTGATATTGTTTTGTGTTTTTCCTTTCTATCAGCAGTGTGATAAAGGAAAACAAAACAATATTTTATACTGCCTTTTGTTTGCTTCAGACATAGAGCTTTCTGGCTTCAATAACATGTATTGAAATATTATATTTTAGGAAACCTACCTTTTAATTTTGATATTAATTTGAATATCTAAAAAGAACACTGAAAGGAAAGTTTTGAAATCAAAATTAGCCAAGAGTTTGGTAGAAGATACAAAATACTGTGAAAAAGAAAGTACTTGTAGATTCAAGAAAACACTTGAAGATTTTTGCATGAAAGATTTTATATTGATAGTTAAATTGTTCTTACCTTTTGGATAAGGAAATATTTCAATTTTTAAGTAAAATTCAACCAGTTTATTCTTGATAATAATACAAATGAGAAAGGCCTGAATGTTTCTTAAGTATTTATCAAAACTGAATGGCAGCATGTGTCACTAGTTCTTTCTCTTTACTCCAGTAACTAACTAGACACATAGTTGCTGTTCACCATCTATACTGTTGATAGACACCAACTGTGATATTTTGATTTTCATTCTTTTATTTTAGAAAATTATTGTTACAATTTAAAATGCAAGGAACCAAAATTCAGTCTGACAGCTTTAAGTCTAAAGATCCCAGTGATGTCCATTAGCATCTGTAGGCAAAGGGCTTTGTTATACTGCTATGTGATTAATGTGGTTGACTTTGGATTTAGGCTGTCTTATAAATAAACACTTTAAGATTAAAATTATTATAAAATGTCTAGTACTTGTGAGAATTATTTGAAAATATTTATGGTTCTGATCCAATATATTAGATCCATTCAGAATGGGAAAGAAGTCAGAATATTTTTCATCATCATAAGACAGCAGGATGTAGAGGAGGCAACAGATGGAGAAAGTATCAAGGATACATTTAGAATAAACAACACCCCTTTTGGAAGAAAGGATTCTTGTTTTAAATACTTCCACCAACCTTGTCAAAGAATCAAAGGAGCATTCGGGCCAGTGAATGAAAGGGGAAAAAGCACAGTCCTTAGAGCAAGGTGCACTTCATTTGCCTTTTCAGCAGCATTAATGTTGAAACATGTTCTTCCATGTCTTCAGTAGGCTGAGAGTGAGGCCTAAAGTCTTTTAAAAATTAACTTCTGGTCAGGCTCGAAAGCTCACAGCTGTAATCCCAGCATTTTGGGAGGCCAAGGTGGGTGGATCACCTGAGGTCGGGAGTTTGAGACCAGACTGACCAACATGGAGAAACCCCGTCTCTACTGAAAATACAAAATTAGCCGGGCATGGTGGTGGATGCCTGTAATCCCAGCTACTTGGGAGGCTAAGGCAGGAGAATCACTTGAACCTGGGAGGCAGAGGTTTCTGTGAGCCAAGATTGCATTATTGCACTCCAGCCTGGGCAACAAGAGTGAAACTCTGTCTCAAAAAGAAAAAAATAAATAAATAAAATTAACTTGTAAGATTCTACCATGCTAAAAATATTGCCTGCCTCTCCAAGCTGCAACATGCACATACTGCTTTTCTACTCTTAGAATTGCCATTGTTGTTTTTAATGTGAGGGGATCTTGTATTTGGCTCTCATTTCTGATTCTCAAGTCAAGGCTTTTCCAGCTTAGCTATCCTATATTCTTTAAATAACCTCTGTCTGGGAAGATTGTCCTTAGGAAGAGGGCCAGAGAGGTCACTCTCCATGGTTGAACTGTTGAGCAAGAGCCCTTGTCCAGCTGCTGTCCCATCTCAAATGCTTGTTGGCTGGAAAGCCAGGGCTCCATGAAGCTGCAGGGCATGGTGCCTCTTCTGAGAGCATCACTTTCCTTAATGTAAATAATGCAAAAGCTTTTATTGTCAAAAATTAATGTATTGTGGAATAAAATGCAACATTTGCATGCTTTATTAGAGAGATCAAAAGTCTTAAAAAAAAATGTCAAGCTTGCAGTGGGCCACTTAGGATAAAGCTGAGCTTCCTGCTGGAATTCATTTTTTCTCCTGTCCCTACTGGTACAGATGATGGGAAAGTGTCCCTCAGGGATAGACTCCAGATCATTTTCAAACCCACATGGCCCACTTCCTCAGGCAGTTTTCCAATATGTTACATAGGAATGCGGACTTAACAGTTTCCCTGACTGTGATTTTAAAAGTAAAGTTCACATAGGAACTCTGGGACCCAATGCACACAGTTTAGAAAACATGTACACAGCAAGTAGCGGCTTCAAGTCCAGGCTTCTTGGGCAAATCTCTTGATCTCTCAACATCTCAGCTTTCATATCTTTAAAACAGGGAGCATACTATTTCTTTACCTCATAATGGTGAGACATCAAGTGCAAAAACATACGTAGAGTAGAGCACAAAGCTGGCTCCAAGGTAAGGCAGTAGAAATAGCAGTTCTGGTGTGTCTTGTGTGGCTTTGTTGTTGTTACTCTAATATAGGATTGTCTTATGGCCCATGAGGCTTTCAAGATGACTCAATAATTAATACAGGCCACTGCCAATTCCAAGTTATCACTGGAGTTCTTTGGAGATGTTCAAAATTGAACCTCTGGAAAAACAAATGGATTTCTTGATGGTATGTAAGGTATTATGTGCATGAACACCATGTGGATGCTGTGGTTTCCAAGAGCATCAAAGCAAGAGAGAGACTTTATTATTCTATCACATGTGAAGACCTGTAATGAATCTCCCACTGATGATATTTTCCATTTACCTGTCTTTGGGATATAAGAGCATCAGCATGACTTGGGCTGTTATCTTGCTGTTGGCAATGACAACCAATGCTGGTGTTGGTGATGCTGGTGAAAAAAGTTACTACATTTTCAAATACAGCTATTTTATTTCAAGTAGTAATAGCCCAAAACAGAGCAAAACCTATCTTGTACTTCCCTGCCACCCAGCACACTGAATAGAACACCAGGCTCCCTTTCTTGGCTATTGGAGGTTTCCTTGTCCCTCAGTATCCTTAGTTTAAATGAGAACGCCTTTCTTTATGTTTATCCTTTAGCAACATCAGTTCTCAAGAGAGCATGAGGGGATGTACTCTAATAGAACTCTATTAATATGGATTATAGATTACATCATGTAATAAGCTTCATACCTTTCAGATACTAGGTATGAAAGTAGATAAATAGAAAGTTATTTGTAAGGGAATGAGAGGCCTTACTTAGAAGTAGGTCTTAGCCATGAATTTTCTTCAACATGCTGTTTTCCTGTTTAAAGGAATAAGTATCTCTGAGAAATTATTTGAAAATAAACTTGGCACCTGCCTAGAGTTAATAAATGGCATCTGCTTAGCATATTGATCAGTATCTCTGATGAGCTTTTCCATTTACTCTAGTAAATATCCAAGCAATGCATCAGTTGAGCAGTGTAATTGATGTTCAATTTAATATGTGTAATTTACTTATTGGTGTTGCTAACGATGCACTTATTAATTATGGCTTATTATTAATTATAGTATATTCAAGTTAGAGCTCTCAGTCAAAACACATACTGGCATGCCAACTTTTGTCTGAGATTTGGTATAGGTGTTGTCCTTACAGTGATTTAATTTTGTCTTTTTTACTCAGGATTGTATGTTATATCTCTTCACAGTTAACATGATACCAAACAAAAGTCTTTGTGATTGAACTACCAATTCATTGGGTTGTCCTTACATGTCTGAATAATTTCTTTAGCTATTGGTATATGTTTATGTACAAATGCACATACATGCACATAGGTAAAGACCACATCAAAGTGAGTTACATGTGTCTTTTAGCCAATTTAAGGGGTTAATGATGGGAATTATTTGTATTTCTGCCTTCTGTGAGTAACGAAGTCAGAAAATGCTCATAGGAATGCAATAGCCATTTTATTATGTAAAATTACTTTTAATAGTTTGAATCCTACTAGCATCTTATTAGACATTTCTCTGTTTTTTTATATTCTGAAGAGCCTCAGACCATTGTAATGACTATACAGCAGAAATTTTGGCTAGTTTAAAGATTTCTAAAACAAATTCCATAGGATCATGACAAATGACCTATATTTAATTACAAGTACTGAGTTTATAACTTATACTCACTCATGTCTCTCTGATATGTACCCAGTTAGCTTTCTACTCATTGATGGATATGTATTTCACAGCTTTGAGTGCTGAAAATACATTTTGCCACTCGTATTTCTTTCCATGCTCTGAATTTCTGTTAGTCTCTTTTTATCATTGCTGAAACTTTGGCCAGCAAATTTTCTGGTAAGGATTTTGTCTTAGTCTCTTTCCTGCTGCTATAACAGAATACCACAAATTGGGTCATTTATAAACAATAAAAGTTTATTTGACTCATGGTTCTGGAGACCAGGAAGTCCAAGAGCATTGTGCTGGTATTTGGTAGGGTCGTCTCATGACAGAAGGCAGAGCAAGCACATAAGACAGAGCAGAAATTAGACCAAACTCAATCAGAAACCCACTCCCACAATAACAACAGTAATCCACTCATGAGAACTCTGACCTCACGATTTAGTCACCTCTTAAGGGCTCCACCTCTTAATGCTGACTATTACAATGGCAACTAAATTTGCAACATGAATTTTGGAGAAGACATTCAAACCACAGTAGACTTTCATCAGTCATCACCATACTAAGAAAAATCCATCTTTTCTGCATTGGCCATCTCTTGGCATCGTCAGTGAAGCTCATGTTCAGACATCTTCCTTCTTTCTTAGCATGTTGTCTTTTTGCTCATGTAAGATTATCCAAAGGCAGCCACGGAGGCCTTTCTTAATAAACCGTCTATAAATATTGGAAATCTGTGGAGGAGAGACCATGAAATATTTCTTGTTGTCTTTCTTTATTTTTCACTTCTACTTCTTCCTCCTTTTTGTTTCCCATCATACCCATTGCCCAATGTCTAAGGATTTTAAATAGAAAAAAAGAGTACAAATGAGAAAGACAGGAAAAAAGTGAGCTTCATCCTGAGAGATCTTTGATTCAGCAAACATGCTGTCACATGTACTGTGGACACATGAAAAGATATGAGCCATGTCATGTGAGAGCCACAAAGTTGAGTAAGACTAATTTTAAGGAATTTATGTTTAGTATATGACATAAAGGATTTACCTAAATAACTGAATTCAAGGTTGAAAATAGTAAGTTCTGTGCAAGAAGGGTGAAGCAAGGTGCCCTAGAAGTTCAGGAGGAGAGAGAATACTTTTCTGCAAAGCAATTAGGAGCAGTATTTGGGATGTGTAGCCTTTGAAGATGGGTAGAATGATTTGAACCTACTCAAATTGAGTAGGGAAAGCTCCTACGCAGCAGGAACAAAGGCCTTGAGAAGGGAAATATTGAGGGTATGGGGAAATTGGGCATTTCCATTTGGTGTATTTCAGAAAGAAGAGTGGTATAATATTAGGAAAGGCAGTTGGAGTTATCTCACGGAAGGCCTTTTGAAATTATCATTTAGAAGCTCTTGGGTTTTGTTTTTTTTAATGAAAGAGTGACTTGATTGGATGATCAATATGGCTGCAGTATGTCAAAGACACTAGCTAAGGTGCCTACTTTGAGTCAGGTATAAAAGTCCAGAAGAGAAATAGACCAGGGTCATGGCAGTGAGAATGAAGAAAAGATGAAGAAAAGAAAAATAAAGCATTTTTAGACTTGTCAGAGATTGGGAAGGACAGTAATAACTAACCTGTCTCGTGCCAGGTGACTCTTCTTTAACCCAAGGGCAGAATAAACCTCCTTTGTAATTTATTCCCGTTTTATGAACTGAATACAACCAAAATTCATTTACTTGCTCTTTTATTGAATACTGACTGACTACATTGTGCATAGACAGGGGAAAGCCTCTCTCAGCATTTCTCTTTAAGAACTTGAACTCCTGCTTTTAAGTTTATATGTTCAAAAATATTTTTCTCCATCTGTACACATACCTCTCATGGCTATTGTTGTCTTTACAAATACTTCCTGCATCTTTTACAATATCCATTCAGTGAAGGCTTGTCAAGTGCCCACCGTGTTAAAGAGACTGTTAATCACTAAACAGCAAAGGTGATAAGAAAGGATCCTTTCTTTGGTTTTCATTTTTATTTTTATTTTATTTATTATTATTTTCTTTTATGTTTAGAAAGGATCCTTACTCTTGGGAAGCTCCAGTGGCAGGTACCTTTTCTCCTTTGTGGTCCTTCTTTTCTGCCTTGTCAATCATTTATGTTTGTTTGCTCTGATTCCTTTTCATCATCCACATGATGACTAGTATATCATGCTTCAGGATTATGTGCATGCCATTACTCTAGTACATTTCAGAATTGTATTGATCATATTACCAGATCTTTCTTTTCTGCACTTTGGCCAGGAAGTCCTTTGTCCTCTTGTTTTTCTTTCAGAATTACTAGTTCTTTATTGCGTTGTTCTGCACTTTTCTTTTCCATTATTTTGTTAGGCTCTCCTCTTTACAACTGACCAAGATCACTTTAAACTTGAATCTTGTATTCCATAGCATGAGCAATAATCACTCGAGTTTTCTGTATTATATTGGGGGACACTGTAGTGCAATGAAATAGGAGTAGCCTTCACAGTCAGACACGGTTCGGAGTGTAGCCCCATCCCTTCTCTTTCACTGAGGTTAGGACAAGCTGTTTATCCTGATGGCTTCTGTTGCTTCAGTTTCCTCATTTGTAGAATGTTATTAATTAAACTTCATGGAATAATATTAAATAAAAAGTATATAAGGTACCCAGCATATAAAGTAGGTCTTCAAAAAGGTTAGCTTTCTTCCTTCCTATCTAATTTAGTAGCCTCAGGCAGTTGATCAATACATGTTAAATTCCTTTACAATTCACAGTGTCTTCCAATCTCTACATACTGTGGCTAGTTATAAACTAGGATTAGATTCCACCAGGCTGGCCTCTTCATTGTATAAAAGGATCTTTTCAAATAGTGCAATGATGGAAATTGGATCGCTGAGAAAGTAAGATATTATTATATCAGGAGATGTTTTAAAAATGGTAACACAATTACATTTTTTTTCTCCTTTTGCCATAGTCTGAAAAACTTCCCCACTCATAATTTGGAGCCATGGTTCTAGAGTGGGGTTTTTCTTTATGTTGTGTAGGGAATCCCCAAAGGTGTTAAATAAATTCCCAGGTCCTACCTCAGACCTTTGATCCAGAATCCATGGGGAACCCAGCCATCTGCGTGTTTCAAAAGCTCTCCAAATGATTCTTTGGCCCAGCCTGAGTTTTAAACTTCCTGTGATTGGAGACCCTATGTTCTCGAATATACTAAACAGAATGCTACAATTAATATAAGCCATATTTATTAAAGCCCTTTATTACTTGAGGAGATATTGTGTGTTTACTAAATGAGAGTCTGGAGAGTACATGACTTTCACTCTCTCTTAAGACTCTGAGTCCTCATCACAATTCTAAAAGGCCACCTTTTGTGTGTGTAGCTCTTAGGCCCGGTGAAAGACATGTCATACATCTCATGCAATTTGTTAGGCTCTACATTTTTTGAACCTCAGAAATACTGATACTTCTAGCAAGCATACAGAATAGACTAGGTATACTTACTTTTTGATGAGATGGTGAATGACAAATTTCAGGCAACAGGAAAAGTTCTAAGGGGCTTTTGCAAACAGCAACTGCTTTGTGCAGGAAGCTGTGGTGATCCTTTCTCCCACAGGAAAAAAATGTGAAGAGGTAAACATAAGATCTAGACTACGACCTAAAATACAAATCCAGAAGAAAATTTGAGGGACTGTAGGTTTCCATCTTAATTCCTTCAGAGTTTAGTTTCAAGTGAACGGTTGGAAACTTCCATTTTGAATTATGTCATCCTCAAGAATCATCTATTTCAGAAGCAGCCACCCCCACTTCCTTTCTTGATTATTCACTTTATGTTCAAAGTGCACACAATAATAATTGATAACTTATTATTGACAATTTGTTTCCCTATTTTATTACTTGATAATGATATGAGAAATTCAAATGGAAAAAATAAAACTATTTCATCAAAATAGTAAGAACAGTAATAATTCTCGTGGACGTTTAGTATCCAGATGGTAAGTAATAAGGCTCTGATAGATCATCTTTTCCATAGGTGTCAGCCAGTCAATAAATGAGAGCAGTAACTGTCATGAAATTAGGATAAAAATAAAAAAGTAGATTGATTTTTTTTTAGAGAGGTATATATCAAAGAATCCAGTATCACAGTTTTATACGAAAAATTCTGTTTCTGATTATTACTTGTATGTTTGCCCTACAGTGGAAATTAGGGACAGAGGAAGCGTTATAAATTCAAAAGCACAATCAGGTTACAAAGGATACACAAGTGTGATTGTAGATTATTCCAGGAGTATGATTGACTTCACATTCCCAGAAGAAAAACAATGATATGTAATTTAAATGAAAAATCTAGGAGGTGTTTGTGATTATGTATAAAGTAAAGAAGGAACAGCTGAAAAAAAACTCAACAAGGCTGCAAGGGATTTTACTTCTCTGGGCAGCAAGACCTGAATGAACTGTCTCACAATGATCTTTAAAACAAGGATGTTGCTATTTTTAAGAGAAAGTATAGAAATTTACCTTGGCATAGGTTCACACACACACACACACACACACGCACACACACAAATGTAAATTAATTAAAATAGAGTCTCTACTCCATAAAAGTCATAAAAATGCTAGCACAAAGTGATTACGTACTCAATTTAAATTTTAGAGTAACTTTTGGGACCAGTGCTCTTTGAAACACACTTGAAGAAACAATATTTTTACATATTTCCACTGCTTCCATTTTATTTTCTTCTTTTAGCTCTTCTCCCTATCTCATCTCTTAAGATTTTTCAATCTCCTCAGCGTTTCTTTTCAGCAGTTCCTGTTGTTACTGTCCTTAGCCCCTTTTTTTCTCTTTCTCCCCCAAATACCAAGAGTGACATTGTGGTATTTGGTTTGCCACTGAAACCTTTTGCATGTTGTGTGAATGGGGTTTTTCAGGTTCAATTCAGACATTGAACCCAACACACAACCCCAGCAGGAGGCTGGCCATGTAGTCCCAGAGCCATTGTGGGTGTTGTCCCCTGTACACAGCTGACTGTACCTCTGTGAGTGTCTTGTGTCCTGCTCATTTCAGCCACCCTCCAGTTCAGGAGGCTCGGGGCTTGGGTGGGGCAGTAACTTCCCCATGGCTTCCCGACTTCCTTCCCCTCCCTTCTACAGTGAGCCTGTATATTGCTGCCCAGTTGGTTTCAAGGCACCACCCTGTTATTCTTTGTGGTTATTTATTAAATTTAGTCCAGGCTGTCATACCCAGTGAGCAGTACCCATCCCACCATAAAGCTTCAGTTCCAAACCCTCTCCCAAAACACTCCCAGCCCCTCCCCAGATCCTGCTCATGAAGCTAGTGTGTGACCCTAGTAGAGTCCCCTTTGTTCTGGTTTAAAAGGCACTCTTCCCATCCAGCCTTGAAACCCTCCCTCTCCTTCTAGCCCTTCACTGTTGCAGCCTCTGACAAGGAGCCCTTCCTCATCTCCCTCCACTCTTGGCAGCTGGGCTTTCTAGCTCACCTCTGACACTTAAGGCTTCTTGCCTTGTTTGCTGTGGTCAACTCCCTGAAGCAAGAGGCTCAGACTCAACTCTAATTCCCTTGCAGAGCCTGGTTCCAGTACCTCAAGCACAAAACGTACTAAATAAGGGGTTGTTAATTCGGAGGCTGTGGAAGCCGAGATTAGCTACAGCATATGAACAGGACCGCCTAGCCTGCGTCCACAGCTGCATGCCTTATATTTAAAGGGAACATCTGAGTGTTGCAGGGATGCTTCTGTATCTCTGATCTGACCAATGGTCACTCCCCTCCCCACCTTTGGGATGTAAGTCTGAGTAGGGATCACTCCCTACCATTTGTTTGTTTTTTTTCTCCTCTTCCCCTTCTTTATCCTAGCTAGGAGGAGTAAAGAGAGGGCCCAGCACTCCGCATGCTCCTGGATACACCCACAGCCCTACTTCCCACCCTCACCGTTGGCCTGAGGTCATGAGTATTACTCTCACTGGCCTGTCTTAGCCCCCTTCCCAGTCTGTCCAATCCTATTTTCTGTGTCCTTAGAACTCCTAGACAGCTACTGTCAAATCCCACCCATGCCCATCCTGGGACATCCCTCCCTTCCCTCTTCTAGACAACTTCAACACTTCTTGGCCTCAGATTTCTCATACCTCCACTCTGGTCCCCAGTGTCCTCTCATCTTGCTTCATTTTTCCCTGGGAAAATGAAGCCACCAGAAGAAACCGTTCAGATGCTCCTCTCCCAGACCAGCACAATTGCTCCCCTGAGAGCCTGTGTGCTGCTGCATGTATGACTTTCCGCTGTTCTTCTGGGTGAGACATCAGCCCTCCTGGTTCTGTGTGCTGGTCCCACCTCCCGCCTCTGCAAGGGCTTCCCTCCAGCAGGCAGCTCCTTTCCCTCCTGCATCATCAACTTCCCCTCTTTGTTGTATCATTAGCATTCACATTCAGAGATGCTGTCATTTCTTCCATCTTAAGAAGTAAAAGACTGTCTGATGATTCCTTTCATCCTCTCTGGCTGCTCCGTGTGGATGTTCCTTGTGTCTGTATTCACCTGGACCTCCTCCTCCTCCTCCTCCTCCTCCTCCTCCTCCTCCTCCTCCTCCTCCTCCTCCTCCTCCTCCACCTGGCTGATTTCTGTCCTCCTTGACGCACCCTTGTTTCTCCTGCTCACTTGCTAAGTGCTCCCAGGCTGACTTATGACTGTAATCACCATATTTTTATGACAACCCCAAATTTATGTTCTACACCCGGGTCTCTCCCCTGTATATCCATCCAAGTGCCTACTTGCTATCTCTTTTGGATGTCTAGTGTCTCAAACCTCATTGGTCCAAAACTAAACTCTTGGTCTTTCCACCCACCCTTCCAAATCTGCTCCTTTCACAGTCTGTCCCTGTCAGTCAGTGGCAGCTGCATCTCTCCAGTGACTCCTGCCAGAGACGTGGTTTTTATCCTACCACACTTGACATCCAGTTCATCGGTAAAACTGATGGCTGGACGGTCACAGCATGTCTCCAGTTGGACAGCATCTTGCCACCTGCCCTGCTACCTTCTCACTCCAAACCATAATTGTCTTCCCTGAACCTTCATAATAGCCTCCTAACTGAGGTCTCTGTCTCCACCGTGGCCTTCTACAGCCTGCAGTACACCTGGCTGCTGGAATAGTATTGTTGAATATAAACCAAATCAAGTCCCTCTTCTGCTCAGAATCCTCCCATGGCTTCTCAAACAGAGAGAGTCCTTCCAGTAATCCAAGGTGGTGTCCCTACCCCAAAATTATGCTTCACCTTCTCCGCAGTTCACTGCAATCCAGTTACACTCAGGCTTTCAGTCTCATTTGCACCTTTCCCCCTTTTCCTCCTCCCTGGATGTCAGCCTCTCCCACTCCATTTCCTTTTTCAGGTGTCTGTTCAAATGTTATTTTCTTAGTAATTCCTTCTCCAATCCCCCATCCTAGTAGCTGCCTTGCCCTTACCCACCAGCCCACTCCCTTGATGTTTCTCTAGCATTAGCCCAACGAGACACAATATTGGTTTAAATTGGTATCTGTCTTCCCCACAAGGATTTAAGTTCCAAGAGGACAGAAGTTTTTCTTTTGTCCATCTGCTTACCACTGTATTCCTTAAACAGTGCTTGGCATGCAGTTAGGTACTCAATAAACGCTTGTTGAATAAATTAAGAATATTGCTGGATTTTTTTCCTCCACATTCAAGGTCAGCCTTGCACTAGTCACGACTGTGCAGAGTTCTGCAGCCAAGCTGTCCCCAAGGTCCTTCCTGACCCTGCCACTCCCCTCCTTTTGGGAAGGCTTCCCAGTCACTCTAGGTGAAAGCAGCCCATGCTGTGGGCAGCATGGTCAGTAGCTCTGGACATCACTGACAGCCTTCATGGCCTTCTGGACTTGTACCCTTGGATCTTCTGGGAAAATTTGTGCAGCCAGTTCAGTAGTCAAAATTGGGCCCAGACCACAAGCCAGTGGCTGAGTACATCGTGTTCTCTGCCTGGCTTGCTGCTGTTATTTAATTTAACATTGAACACTGGGCCAAAGCGGATTGTTTTCTGCCAAGTCGAAAACCAGCTAAATACTGCATTGGATAATCATTCTATTTCTTTTGAGTTTTTCTTACATGCTAGATGTCATATCTGAAATCTTAAGCAATGCCATTTGGCTGAAATACCACTCTTTTTCATTTTCTTGGCCATGATAAAAACAATAACCAGAGCTATCACTAGGAGTCAGTAGAGTGGGCATCTGTGAGGATTATGCTATGTGATTCTAGCAGTCTTTCAGCCTCCATGTAATATGTACCTTATTCATCAGTGTAATTAATATAATACAGTAGCAGGCCTGGATAGTCTCCACAGATAAATGGACACATCTAAGTTTATTCTCTTCAAAAGGAATTAAAGTCACACCACTGTCCTAACAGAATGCACACAAGAAGAGAAAATGCTTTTTAATAAATGATTAAAATTTATACAAAAAAGAAAAAAGTTTATACCATTATAAACCTGGCAAGAAAATAACAAGACAGAGGGAGAAATAGAATGAAAACAATACTTTTGACAAGCAGTTTGTAAATTATACTGTTAAATTCATAGATTTGGGTGAGGAAAAAATAAACAACCATCAGTGGCAACCATACTCTGTCAAAATTATCCCCTGTCCAAGGCCTGCTGACAGGTCATAACCAGAACCACATGTTCCCAAAGTAATAAAAGGTGAGAGAGGAGTATCGAAAGGAGAGCCTAAAGATATTCACTTCAGGCAGGGATAGAGGGGCAGGGCACAGGCAGGAAGGCAGGAACTGAATGGGCAGGGGGCCTGGAGTCAGTGACACACACCCGTCAGGTTATCGAGGGCTGTTTGTGTTTACACTGATGCTTCCGTAGAACCCCAAACCCAAACACTAGAATCCACCCGATGGCCAGTCCCAGGCAGCCTTCCCACCTTTGCTGAGTCAGTGTCCTGTTTAACATGATTGCTACAATGATCACATTGCAACTATGTCAGGCCAAGATAGAACATTTCATTTTCTTGACCTGCAATGTGAAATGAGTCAGTGCTAAGGAATGATAATATGAGTGTACATAGGCTGCATAGCAATGTGCGAGCTGCTTCCTAAAGGGGACGAAAGGCTGCAGGTAACCACTCCTCCTTGGCCCAAAGCAGCATTCACCAGTTCCCGTAGAGCCAGGCCTTCCTCTACTGAGTGTTCACAATGTATGCATTACATCTGTGCTATTTTTCATATTAAAATGTCTTAAGTTAAATAAGTTTTTCTAAACTTTTTTTCCCCCAAGTGTTGAATTTACTGATGTAATTTAGTTACAAAACATACTTTAACTAATTTATTTAGGAAATATACATGGATGACCAGCTATCTATAACTAGTGAAATAAATAGAATGACTTCCAGTATGTCAACCCTTGGAAGAATAAAACCAATTTGATTTTATTTTAAAAATTTGTTTTAATTGGACTCTAAATCAAAAAGGAAAAACATTAGACTTTTTACAATTTTGTGAATTTCAAATGTTACTTCTTTTTGTATGGACTTTTTTTAACTTAAAAAAATTTTTTTATCCACATATACATTTTATCGTTAGGTTTATCCTAGCAATTTATTTAATGTAACAATTTTCTTCCGGTCGACCACCTAATGATATGTTCCAGTAGAATTTTGGAGTAGTATATTTCAGATATACTTACCCTAAAGGATAATTAACATTAATACCTTAAAGATTTAACTGGACAGCTAGTTTGAGGGATACTCATTGACTTCCTCTTGACATTGTCAGAAATAAAATTGGCCTGTAGAGCATTCTTCGGAAGGGTTTTTATTTCCTAAGTTGTGCTTTTTGCATCATGCTGTCATTGCTCCTGTCAAATGATTAGAATATGCTTTGTCATGGAAACACTGATGATCTTCTGACTCTTTTCTCCCTGACCTTGACTTACTTCCTGGGGTCAGTCTAATGACTACAGCCATGTTCAGGAGGCAGAGCCTCATGTATAAAATCTTAATAGAAATAACTTTGAAAATAAACATTATTTACATGTTCCTAAAGGAAACAACAACAACAACAACAAAGCAGATGAAAGGTGGTACCCAGCACTCCCTTTCTCAGTGATGAGTCTTTTTGGAGTTCGTCTGCCTGGTCTTGGTCTGCCTTGCGCAAGGGTGCAGACTTAGTGACAGCTAAGGTTTTCATGAGTCAGGTGATGCATGAGTGGAAAACCCCATAACAACGTTGAAAGAGCTGGTTTACAAACACTCCATTTTAATTACATTTTTACTGACACAAAAAGAAAACTCTAAGGTGGAAAATTTGGACATAAAGTAGAAAGAGCTGGTTTACAAACACACCATTTTAATTACATTTTTTACCAACACAAAAAGAAAATTCTAAGGAGGAAAATTTGGACATGAAGTTTCTACTTTCAGAGTGACCTGTCACCTAGTAAGGGTGGCATAATGGATCAGAGCATTATCACATTCTGATTTAAGAAGTACAAGCCCTTTTAAAAAAGAGTCTTTTTAGGGAATTGAATATTACATTCCTAATATATTTCATCCTGAATGCACTTAGCTGAGGAAACATATATTTCATCAGACATGGATTTGACATTCCATCACATTATACAGTAAACAGGACAAATATGTCTCATGTTTTAGACATGAGAAAGGGGAGCTAAGGCAGCCACCGCCACTGTTAGACCTTGGTTATCTCATTTAAACAGATAATAAATGTGGGTGCCAGTAATGTGATCATCAGCAGCTTCCCACTTTGTGAATAAGTTGCTTAGAAGGAGTCTTTTGCCTACCAGATGTGACCTAGATTTAGATTTCCAAAGGCAGGGGGAAAACCTCTATTGTGTTAAAAAAAAAAAAATTGCTGGTAAAATGCATGGCAAATGAGCTTATCTCAGTTTTCCAGGTGTTTGGACTAATATGTTATGGAATTGCTGCTTCATTTATGAAAAATAATTGAGGAAAATGTTCCAGTAAATCAAATTTGGAGAAAGGCTTAGGGATAGCTATTGTGGTGTTAGTAAATTTTTAAATGGCAGAAAGAGCAGGAGCCAATAGAGATAATAAAATATATTTTTTTGAAAAAACTGAGAAGAGTCTCTTAGAAAAGGGTCAGGCATGGATGTGCTATCCAGCTTGTGTTATGGTTTAGTAAAATGTTGAAGAACAACGTGAACAATTACACTCCTTTCAGTGCATATGAAAGCTGTTTAAAAAAATCAAAGCTTGTCTGTCTGCTGGCTCTGATAAGTCTTATTACTCTGTTAAATGCAGCAAAATTTTTTAAAATGTGACATCTTTATTCTCTCTTACCTACTTTCTCTCCTTTTTCATTTCCTTTCATA